GCAAGGAGGCCTACAACCTGACTCAGTTACACCAGCTCTGTCAGGAGGAATGGGCCAAAATTCACCCAACTTATTGTGGGAAGCTTTCGGCTACCCAAAACGTTTGACCCAAGTTAAACAATTTAAAGGCAATGCTCCCAAATACTAATTGAGTGTATGTACATTTCTGACCCACTGGGAATGTGATGAAAGAAATAAAAGCTGAAATAAATCATTCTCTCTACTATTATTCTGACATTTCCCATTCTTAAAATAAAGTGGTGATCCTAACTGACCTAAGACAGGGAATTTTTACTAGGATTAAATGTCAGGAATTGTGAAAAACTGAGTTTACATGTATTTGGCTAAGGTGTATGTAAACTTCTGACTTCAACTGTACATATGGACAGTACCAAAACAAATGATCTAATGATTCTGTCTCTTCGCAGCAAAATCTGCAGAGTTGGGAAGGTTGTATCCCCCATATAAATAACATTATATTGGTTGCAACAATTTTGTATAATAATTTAAATTGAAAAAGTTTTGAATCCGGCGTCGTTTTGCGAATTAGTTCATAAACCATGTGACATGGAATCGGTAAGTCAAAAATCTCTTCCCAACTATTTTGTAATCTATATGGCACGGCTGTCAATTTTTTGGTCCATAAATTAAACTGGTATACTTTTTTATTTATCACAATTTTCTTTAACCAATGATGGTCTTTAATGCAGGGCCGACAGACAAGTTCCTTACTTTTTCTCCCTTCCACTTTCCTCTTCCATTTTTGCGGTAATGCTGCAATCAGTTGGTTGTAATTTCGGGTAGAGCAGACATTTCCATATCTTTCTGTTAGCTGCTGTTGTTGTATTATTTGTTCTGTATATTTGCATTTAACCACAATATTTGGCAGAGTGAAAGAACAAGCCTGTACATAATACAAATATTCCAAAACATGCATCCTGTTTGCAGTAAGGCACTAAAGTAAAAGTTCAAAAAATCTGGCAAAGAAATGAAATTCATGTCTTGAATACAAAGCGTTATGTTTGGGGCAAATCCATCACAACACATCACAGAGTCCCATTCTTTATATTTTTAAGCATAGTGGTGGTTGCATCATGTTAGTTCCGTGTGGCTCACTTGGTAGAGCACGGCACTTGCAACACCAGGGTTGTGGGTTTGACTCCCATTGGGGACCAGTATGAAAATATATATACTCACTACTGTAAGTCGCTCTGGATAAGAGCGTCTGCTAAATTACTAAAATGTTATGGGTATGCCAGGACTAAGGAGTTTTTTTGAATAAAAATAAATGGAAAACCTGGTTCAGTCTGCTTTCCAACAGACACTGGGAGACAAATTCACCTTTCAGCAGGACAATAACCTAAAATGCAAGGCCAAATATACACTTGAGTTGCTTACCAAGACGACATTGAATGTTCCTGAGTGGCGTAGTTACAGTTTTGACTTAAATCGCTTGAAGATCTATGGCAAGACATGAAAATGGCTGTCAAACAATGATCAACAACCAACTTGACAGAGCTTGAAGAATTTAAAAAAGAATAATGTGCAAATATTGTACAACCCAGCTGTGCAAATCTCTTAGAGACTTACCCAGAAAGACCCACAGCTGTAATCGCTGCCAAAGGTGATTCTAACATGTATTGACGCAGGGGTGTGAATACTTACAGTATGTAAATGAGATAATTCTGTATTTAATTTTCAATACATTTGCAAACATTTCTAAAAACATGTTTCACATGGTCATTATGGGGTATTGTGTGTAGATGGGTGAGAAAAAAATATATTGAATCCATTTTGAGGCTGTAACACAACAAAATGCGGAATAAGTCAAGGGGTATGAATACTTTCTGAAGGCACTGTAAATCAGAAGTAAGCAATGTGATATCAACACATAGTGCTCTTTTATTTAGTATCATGATCTGTAAAGGGGACATAGCCTTACTCCACCCCCCTACCCCCCCGTTTGTTCTCTCTCTCTTAGTGCCTGTGCCAGGCCCTCTCCACTGACACAGAGAAGAGAGGGAGGGAGGGAGGGAGGGAGGGAGAGGAAAGCTAATTAGCATTTATCTAATGAGTCTTTTCATTTTTTTCTAATTAAACAAGCTCCTTAATAATACATGGAAACAGGACACTACACACACACACCATGATATTCAATTACACACACTATAAATGGGCTGGAGCCAAATGTGTGTGTGCCAATTGTGTGGGTGCGTGTGCCAACTGTACCAAAAGTGTGTGTGTGTGACAAGTGTGGTTGGCACAGACTGCATTGTGATGCACACGTGGCAGGTCAGAGAGACTGGTATACCATGCTGTGTAATCCACCCTCCCCCTACCCATCCCTCTCTGTCCCCCTACCCATTTAACCATTCATCCTTCCATTATAAAACACATACACGCTATGTCCCCTATACGCCTACAGTGAACTACTTTTGACCAGAGGCCTTTACGAAAAAATGATTTAATTTAAGACATGTTTTCAGTCTGTCCCAAACTGCTTCTTCCATCATTCTAAAATGAAACAAAAGAAAAAAGGTGAGATATGGAGAAATATGATGGAGAGAGGAAGGAGAGCAGTGGGAGAGACTAGTGTGGCAGAGCCAAGGTTTCTCCTGAGAGCTCAAACAGAAAGGAAAGCAAGTGGAACCCTCGCCTCGCTCGCGCCCACCTCAACTTCGCTCTCTCTCTCTCTGTCTCCTGCTCCCTCAGAGAGAAGAACCTCAATATCGAGCTCCGAAAAGC